ATAATATGAGTAACAACTAGTATCCAATAGAATTCATGCTGCTTTTTATAAAATTCAGAATTTTTATTTCAATTGCTGTTGTTTGCGTAATATTACAGAGAAACATTTTATCACAAATAACAAATAGTTTGATTCTGCTTTGGAATTAAAGTTGGATACATTCGTCTGACAGGTGAGAATGAAGATTGTAGCATAATTCAATTCATCTTACGAAATGTGTTTTATTTTTTATCACAGAAAGGTTCTTCTTTATGTATTTCAGATAAGTAACAATACATAGAGAGGTACTTAAATCTGTAAAATTCACACTGAACAATAATTTGAATAATTTCATTCTTCACATGCACTTGTAAAATGCCTAAAGTTTCTACAGATGACGGTCATTATGATTTTCACAGATAATGTTTCATGGGAAAAATAGACATTTGTGTCTAAATATTCTTGAACAAGTTTTCTTTATCAGAGTGATGTTTCATAAGTATATACGCTACTTGTTGAATGATGAATCAAAGTGTGAATTCTGTTATTTATGAGACTGATTCGATAATCACTCACTCGACAAGTGTCTGTCAAATTCCAACATTAACAGGTGCTTTATTCTTCCTTTTAAACAAACAATAGGATGTTTTTCTGTGTCTTAATAGAAAGTAGCACTTGAAGATGGTATTTGGTAAAAGATTATAGCAGCTGTCTTCTCTATCTTACCTCTTAAAGCAGGATTTCTAAGATTTTCACCACGTTATCACTTTCCACGTTATATGAGAAATATGTGATATGACTATGGACAATAAATGATCAGCCGGAATGTCCTTCAACTTTCATTTAATGATACATCAAAAGAACAAGATAATACGTAATTGTTAGTATCATTGATATAGGGGTTCAACTATCTTTAGATTCCAAGGCAAAATATATAGACAAACTGAAGGTGTAGCAATGGGATCACCAATATCCCCTATCGTAGCAGATATATTTATGGATAGCTGGGAAAATATGGCACTTAATACGTTTAATCCTACTCCAAAAATATGGTGGAGATATGTGGATGACACTTTCACAGTGTTAAAAACAGAACATATCTCTAGCTTCTTGACACATATTAACTCACTAGTAGAGGGGATAAAATTCACATTTGAATCGGAAGATGAACAAGGAGAGTTGGCTATGCTAGATTGTAAAATAAAACGAATAGAAGAAGGTAAACTTCACACTAGTGTGTATAGAAAACCAACGCATTCTAATAGATATTTAAATTTTAATTCGTCGCATCCGTTAACTGTTAAGGCAGGCTTAGTTAAGTGTCTAACAAACCGAGCCATAGCACTAAGTAGCACAAAAAAAGACCTAAACGACGAGATAAAACAGATAGAAGAAGCGTTGGTGTTGAATAATTATCCTTTAAAATTCATAAGGAAGATAACTAAAGGCCAGAAACAAAATAAAAATAATTGTGGAACTAGTAATGATAACATAAATAAGAGAGAATATAAGTCATCGACAGTTATACCATATAAAGAGGGGACATCTGAGACCCTACGTAGGATTCTAAATAAAGCAGGAATTAGGGTGGCATTTAAACCTACAAACTCACTCAGGGACAAGCTCTGTAGGTTAAAGGACCCAGTGGACCCAATTAGACAAAATAATATAATTTACAAAATACCCTGCAATGACTGTGAGGTCAACTACATAGGTCAAACTAGTAGGTCAGGAATAGTCAGATTGTCAGAACGTAATTGTTAGATTTGAACTGTACAAATTCATCAATATCAAAGCACAAAGAACATGAACAACATAGATAATTTTGTCGATGAATCCACATTTACTTTTCATATCTCCTTTGAGACAATATTATTTATTCAAACTAATCTGAGTGTTCAGCCTAATGGCACTTTATCTCTTTGTTCAAAAGAAGTTGAATGGCAAACTGATACTGAAATAACGAATCTATAAATTCACCTTAGGCAAAGAAATGATCATCTTTTTATTTTCTGTGATATCTACTAGTAGCTAACCGACTTTCAGGTGCTGGTTTGCAGGGCTCTGGTTGATTTCAAGACTGATCTTCGACCGACTTCCTTTAGAAAACCAGTGAAAACCAAGAAGTATTGGACAACCGTTTCATCCCTGTTTGAGACAGAAGCTGGAATTGGTGGGTCATTAGATTCCGTTCCCATGGCTGAATGGTTGACGAAGCCTCCTTGTAACCTGAAAGTTCTAGATGCGGTCACTGGTGATGTCATGTGTGCATACTGCCAATGAGCTTTAAGGTATGACGAAACACATGACCATTACCCTATGGTTTCCAATGGTTCTCTAACTGAAGTCAGTTTGTGGTCAATCGGGAGAAAATCGATTGTTTCTAACAGCCAAATATTCATTAGAAAAGTATGTAGAGCACACGTTAAAACGTAATTCTTTTCTATAAGTTTTCATATATTTTACCTCAAGTCTATTAACTCAAATATACACCTTAAACTGTATTTTTACGACGCCTTATTTCACCTGTTCCAATAACAAGACAAACGCCTTGCCGATTTAAAAATAGAAAATTATAGATTTTAAGAGGAAAAATTAAAAATGACATCTTTCCAATTGGTTTGACGCTTTCATTCATAAACCTGCAGTACAACTAACTTCAATTTAATATTTACCCACTTCCTGTTTAAGCAATGTGTATTTCACTTGTATAATCACTGAGGTATAGTTTTATTAAATTTTGTCATCTGTATTATAAAATAACTTTCGTTTATCACAGTAGTGTATATATATGTCAAATAAGCTGATTGTTTATTAATTGACAGTTATCTGCAAAAATCAGCATAAATGTTTAGAAGTGTTAGCTTCTAGGCATTTGAATGATTTCAACGTTGATCACGAAGTGACTTTAATTAGAGAACTATTAAGAGCCAGGGTGTACTGGGCAGCCTTTTCATTCATTCTTGCTTCAAACTCCTCAGTAGTACGCACTTATCACCCCGCCGGGAATCGAACCCGGGACTTTCAGGGTACGAAGCGAGCTCTTTGACTATTCATCCACTAGGATGGAATCCAGCAGCCCATGAAATCTAACTTTTGTCAATCTGGGATATTTTCCACAGCCACCAGCCAGCAATATCGGCGAGCATTTGTCCTGACACCTGACCTGGTAGACCCTTTGTAGTCATGACTTCTTATTAGAACAGCACGCAAGTTCATTTTGTTTTCAGTCACTAGTGATCATCAGATTAGTTTTCTAGTGTTAGTTTGCAGGGATTCGATTGGTCGCAAGTTTGATCACGGAATGGTATCAGTTAGAGAACCACTGGAAACCATGGAGTACTGGACAGCTGTTTCGCCGTGGTTCAGGGCTCTTCATCAGTACTCATCAATATTTCGTTAAACTTGTTTTATATTCGACATTTCGGTGTTGGATTTAATATATCTTCACTGTTTCATCCATTGTTGCTAGATAGGTATTTATCAAAGTAATACTTGTCTCAAGAAATACACTCCTGACTGAAAAACATGGCGACACAAATTATCTTAGGTTTAAAAAAGCATTTAGATGAATGATCTTTCAGAAATGTCAAACCATTTTGTGGTACATGCAAATAAACAACATTTACGTAGAATAAATCAAATTTCATGACGTAATTCACGCGTATTTTGACATTATGTACTGGGACTTATGTCCCCAAATTTATAAATAATATGGTTTATTTTAGATGTAATACAGAAGAATGCGACAATTCTCTATCACAATTCTATTGTGTCGTACTTATTTTCCATATTTTCATAAGATTTAAACGCTTAAATTTTATTTTATGACTATGTGTATTCTGCGTGAAGGCACATTACTGTTCACCTCACTGTCTAACGCACTAAACAGCCGGTTTAGGAAACCAACTAGGATGTTATGACAGACAGTCGATATTCCAGTGTAAGCTAACGACAAAAACACTAACAAACACAATAGTTTTTCCTTTTCTTGACCCATTCTGTAATGGTTTTGAAGTAGCATATCAATTTCAGCCAAACCAAACAAATTAAGAATCAAACTTTGTTTTCCAAGTATTGGTTTTGTAGGATATTTCGTCCCATTTTGGAACTCTTACAGCACGCACCCACCGGGTTTGAACTCAGTGTCTTCTGGGTATACGACCAGCTCGTAGACCTTTAGCCACTGATTTCAGCTCATGGTGAAATCCCCCAACCAATGAAAAAATACCTACAAAACGAATACTTGAAAATTTATCTGATGCTCACTAGCGACTGGCCCTATTCAGGGAGTTAACGTGGAGTTCTAGCGGGAAGCCATGACCAGTAGGGTTCAGCAGCTTGAAAGGGAGGCAGTATCTCATCGAAAATGACATTGAAAGAAGTTGGAATTCATGGACCTTTGGATCAGGCTGCAATGACTTAATGGTTCACAAGCTCGCCTTGTAACCACAAGGTCCTGGGTTCGAACTGTGGTGCTGGGTGTGCACTGATGAAGAGTTCCAAACTAGGAGGAAACAGCTGTCCAGTACTCCCAGGTTTTCCAATGGTTTTGTAACGTATGTCAGCTCATGATGAGATCCTCCAACCAATCATACTTTGTTTAAATTACCGCATGCAGCTACCCACACTTAAAAGAACACTTACAATTTCATTGATTTTATCTGTTAAGTGTGATTTTATCTATGTCATGCAGTTGGTAATGCACCAGACCTATTTTGTAAGGGCTACTGGTACTAACTGGCTTCATCGCGTGCAGCGTGGTTTGAAGCCACAATCAATTAGCTTGAAGTCGAGTGCCTTGTCCAATTAACCACAGCTCCACACTTTCTAGAGTAAGCTATATGCAATATTTTACAAAATGAACTCAATGAATAACAAAAAGATCATTTGACTAGAATTAGCAAATTACATTTATTATTATAAAAAATAAACTGAACTTTATATCTAATATGAAAAAAGAGTCTGTGTTGTGTTGTTTTTTTTTTTGTCTTTTTCACCGAATCATTTTATTATAATTGTTAAAGTGTTGGAATAATCGCCATTGTCGCTATACCGCACATATTATGATCATTACGCTTAATTTTAGCATAACCATTTTCACCCCATGATTTACCCCAACTATTTTTTAATAGCCAGTATTCTTCTTTATCTTCATAACCGTAACCAATGATTAAAATACCATGCATAACATCGACTGATGAGCAATCGTCTGATTGGTATACGCCTTTTCTGTGAATAAAAGTGAATAAGCAAACAATATTGATAAAAAATAAGGCGTCTTCAGCTATGATCACTTTAAGTGCCTAGTACGCAGATAATGAAAGTATTAAAGAAGCAAAACAAAATATCTTTAAAAAATGAAAGTAGATAGAAAGCAGTGAATAGTGTGTAACTTTGAAGAGAACAAATTCGCTCAAAACATATCTACTTTGATGAATGTTGGTAAGAAGTTAGAAATCAAAGGTTTTACCTTAACAGTTTATCAGATGAGCTCTACTTTCCAGTTCTTTTACAATGAGTTTGACATTTGTTTTTCTTTAAATGATGGGGAAGATTTGTAGCTCAGGTGAATGATTTTCAGTTAGTTGTGTTCTCAGAGCTGGTTGATTTATCTGCTAGGCTTACGTCGTCCTTCTAGAGAGCATCTTCAGCGCAGGCTTTAGTCGATAAAAATGACCAGTAGAGACGGAAACTGACAATCATTCACGACAGTGGTTGCCAAGATATACAATAACATCATTCAAGGAGAGTTTAAATAAGATTATTATATACTAAAACCTTCTCTGAGCATGTTGTCTATTAGGATGACGATAGCCTCTCAATTAAATCAACAAGCTCAGAGGACAACTATTTCAATTTGCTTATCTTGTCTTTTAACTTTTTAGTAGTCAGAAAGGTATCAAATAAAAAAGTCAATTATTATGGTTAATGAACTAATATTTTGTTAATAAAGATAGTGCATATAAGTCAAATGTACAAAACAGGCATTAGTTCAGTGTCTAACTACACGTTATGAGTGTCTAAAAGTATCACCAAGTGACTCTTAGACCTTGAAATTAATAATGCTGTTGTTATAAAAATAGTCACGAGAATAGGTGACAGTTTTATATAGTGGAGAATCAAGAGTTTGTCTTATGATTACAACAACAAGAAACAAAGGATCAATCACCTAAAAACTATGCGGAAGAAAATAGGGATGGGTAGGATCTATGTTGAAGCGACATTTCAGTGAGATCACCCACCAGGTCTCCGAGTTCAGCAGGAATGGGAAACAACGAGTTGTGCATGCGTCCAAGGGTGATATCGAGAAGATCGTATGACGACGAGATGAGAGGTTATGGGCACTTGAAGAGGAATTCACAGTGCAATATAAAATAAGTTTGTCCTGAGAGTGCTCTATGTTCCACTTGGAACTCAGGAGGATATTTTTTTTATAATGATAAATACTGGTAATTTTGAAATGAGTGGTTAAGTATGCATGCAAGAATCCAGATGGAAATCGACATAAGTAAGTGAACAAATTTGATTTCCTCATTCAGTGTGCACTCAATATACTTTACCATACTTAATTTCACAATTCAGGGTTTTTATTAGCGAAACAGTATAGTTCCTATTGCCTAATTACTTATCACTACTATGAAAGAAAACATTATGTAGTTAATGTCTGCATTTCTAAAGGAGGAATGAAATGAAGCTTTTATACTTTACAGTTTACGGAATTATTCTTTTATGTTACTAGGTATATGTTTGTAATGATACGTTGTGCTATTTGAGTATGATATAGATGTGAAAAACAACACACATTTTTTAGCAAAGAAAAGTGTTTATTTCAACATATCAGTAGGCCAATTAGGTATATAAATTTGTTCTGTAAACTAAAATTTATCATATTTTCATTTGAATTAAGAAAATGTAGTCTTTTTCCAAACATTTTCACAGAAAAGAATAAAATAACCCCATGGGTGGCAGTATATGTAACAAAATAAAGCTTCCGCTATCAATCTCTCCCTTCACCGTGTTAGATTAGATTTTAAAACTATCATCTAATCCCATCCTGCTGTATGGTTGTGAGTAATTACATGTAGCGAGTGCTATAGCTAAACTATTCTCCAGATTTCTTATTCGGCTCAGCTAATCTAGATTTTGCTATGTTGTTTTGCTCCTCTCTTTTACCTGATCCCATTCTCCTATTTTGACCTATGTATTTGACCTGACAATCATCGCAGACAGGGTATTAGATAAACTAAGTTGTTTGGTTAATTGGCTACACAGGACTGATCCTCTAACCGATAAAGCTTGTTTCTATTTGAGTTTGTGAGTTTAAATGCCACTTTTATTCCTTCCTGTATTGTTAAGAATTCTCCTTAGGGTTTCCGAGGTTCGTTCTTTGTATGGAGGTACTACTAATAATTTATATTCCCTGTTGTTGGTGTTGTCATTATCCTGTTCATGTTTGAAATGCATGTCATCATTAATATTATTATTGTCATCACTATCATTATTATCATTATCAATTTTATTTTCGAATTTTCCTACATACTTCCTGATCAGTTTATCTGGGTAATTATTAAGCTTCAAAGCTTCTCTTATATGCCTCACTTCTTGTCTTAGATTTTCCCTGGTACTACTTAATTTTTGTACCCTATGACTGAAACATTTCACCAATCTTGTTTTTACTGACACAGATAAGGTGCGATGATCAGAAATCCAAATATCTGTTTGAATGTGTGCGTTTCGTGTAAACACTAGTGTTTAACTTCCCATCTTCTTTCCTTTTTACGCTATAATCTGAAATTAGAAGCTCCCCTTCTAACTTTTCACTTCATAAGTGAGTGTAATCGCCTCCACCTTTGAGTTGATGTGGTCCTGTGTTTCACGTACAGTGAATTTGTCGTCTGCATACCTCCACCGTCGGTGGAGGTGGTATAGCGGTTAGGACGCTCGCCGACCATGCACATGGTCCCGGGTTCGATCCCTGGCCGGGGCACTCCTTTACCTTGTTAAGCCAGAAATAATGCTGGTAAAGAGGTAAGGTTGGGCATGAGGCTAGCAACACCATCCTGTAAAATAAACACTGCTACAGAAACTTCAAGCCTCTAGCTTGAATCCCTATATTCCACTGAGAACGTGAAGGAATAAAAAAATACCTCCACCGTACTTCTGGGGCGGGGCTGAAAGTTTCAGTCGCTAAGTTTTCACACCTATTCATAAATATATCTGTCACAACCTATAGCAATTCCCTCAGTTTGTTTGCATATTTTCCCTTGAAATTTAAGTACTGTGGAGGTTAGGCATAGCTGCACTCCCAGCATTATGCCTTCCAGTGGCACTTCCGTTCGTATACCGATAAATGTGGCTATATAGGCAGTCAGAAACGAACCCATTTCTGACCAGAAACTTGAACTTAGAACGAACTATCAGCACGGATACAAAAGGCTTGTGTGATATTTGCTATCCCGCATCATCTCTAGCGTAGATGTTATATCTGGCTTTCAATCACAAGTCATGTGTGTTGCGCAGCAGTTCACTCTGCGAGACATGGCTGTTGAAGGGATTTCATGTCTTTCATGACAGACATTTGCGTTCTATCGCCCATGTCAAGTGTTTTATTATGGTGAACAATTTTGGGATTGGCAGTCGAGTGCTATCAAGGAGGAAAGTCAGTTAATGAGCTCGTGAAGCTACATCGATCAACATGGCTAGAACACATGTTGCACATGCCAATCAACCATCTTCCTCGACGAGCAGTGTCAGCTCGTTTAGGCTTGAGTTTGAAAGTTGGTTTAAGTTAACCGCGTAGGGAAGTACAGACAACCTAGTTGGGGATACTGAGATGAAAATACCTTATAGTCGGAGACTGCTAGTTATCTAACTGAGAATCATTCTCAATGGCACAGATGCATTTCCTCTTTGTGACCTCATATATCCATTATAACCTGATGTTTTTCTATGTTACTATTCTTTCTCCAGATTTAAATAATGATAATAATAATGATTTATGATGATAATAATGATAATGATAATAATAATAACAATGATTTAAATAATTTAAATAATGAAATAAAACAAGTAAAGGAAGTATTATTAGTGAACAACTATCCACCAGAATTCATTCAGAAATATATGAAGAAGCTTAGAAAAAATAAGATAAGTGATGGAAATGATAAAAACAACATAGAATTCAAAGCATCTGTAGTATTGCCACACATGGAAGAAACATCACAGCCCTTAACTGGGATTCTCAGCGAGGTTGTAATTAGAGTGGCATTTAAGCCAACCAAACATTTTTCCCAGAGATAAACTTTGTCGACCTGAGGATCCAATAGATCCGATTAAGAGAAATAATATAATTCGCCAAATACCATGTAATGCTGACAGTGGAATCAATTACATAGGTCAATCAAACTACTCTATTGGAGTCAACTAGATTATTGGAACATAAAAATACAGCTAGACGTAGAATAATTGACCCTCCTAATTTAAATAACCTGGAAAAATCATAGCTCAGACATTGCACTGCACTGCATTCACTTGCATGTTATCACAAAATAGGGTGGATAGGACAGGGTGAGAGTATTAAAAAGTAATATAGTTAGGTGTAGTGGGAGAGAGGTTAATCACTGAAGCTTTGTTTATCAACTCAACACCGCACACATGCAATCGAAATGACGCAACGCCTGTACTGGAGAAAGTGGCAACGAACAACACAGGAAATTTGGAGAGACAGAAAATACACATCAGACAATTTGCGAAACCACGTGACTAAAATTGACATGATTATGAGCAATAAAATATGCTCGAAACGTCATGCAGTTATTAATACTTCATCATTATGTGGTATTTGAAATAAAATCATTTAAGATGGGTAGAAGTTCTACACTTACATAACTGATTACGTTTCAAAATATAGGATCAAGTGGCTATCTATTAGTAATTTCGTTGACCTCTTCCATTCTATTCTGTGACCAAAGAAGTAATGACCGCTGAGATAACCGTCGAAATGATGCTCACTAGATAACTAACTGGGGAAATATTTTGCCGTTTGTAAATGTCATCCCAGTAGTCCATAGGAGCAATGTCGGTGTTGTTATCAGAGATAGGTCAGTATTAAGTCTTTATTTTGTAATATCTAATAATAATAATAATAATGGCTTTATTCCAAACAGTATTTGTGGTACAGGTATGGAATTTTCAGCGTTCATTACAATATTGCATCTAATTACCTCATAAATTTTATAAGAATTTAAAAATAAAAAGCAACAACAATAAAAGAAAAAAAAAAGAAATAGAAGAAATAAAAAAGAACAGTATTGCGTTCACATATTTAAACAATACAGCACAGGATATGATATATAAAATTAGTCTGTAATAGAATATATGAGCAACAATATAATAGTAACAAAGAAAGGAGAACAAAAGCTAATGGGAACTATTTGTTAGAGTGCCGCAGTAAGGTGATCGTGTCATGCCTAACAGTTTTCTCATCACATAACAGCTGTGCCAGATAGGGTATTGTGGAGTTTTTATACTTGGTAGTCCTGGCATATAGCTTCCTATAGTTACTTCTAGTTCTACCAGATGAAATGCAAGGAGAGCACCTTATGTACCTTATGTACTCAGCTAATATCAATCTTTTAACATTTGCCGTACGAAATAAACAGTTGGTGTTGACCTACGTCGTTAAAGGTGACAGCAATGTTCTTGTAGATCGTTAATATTTCACTGATGAAGTGCTATCTATCACATCAAATAAAAACAAATCTTACCTTTCTTAATTTTATCTCAATCAATTAGCTCTAACTACGGAGTAAAAATTGACTTTCACTAGGGAACTTATATAATCTAAGCTAAAAGTTTTAATTACACTTGCCCGTAAACTTTAAAAAAATTAGACATTGAACTTTGTCTAAAATTTAAACAAGAGAGAATAAAAGTTTTGTAATATCTGATAACAATACGTTCCCCGTGGAATATAAAGCTTCAAGCTAGAGCTTTGCAGTTTCGTTAGCAGTGGTGTTTATTTTTACGGGATGGGGTTGCTAGCCTCATGCCTAACCTTCCCTCTTTACTAGTCTTATTACTGACTTAGCCAGGTAAAGGAGTGCATTGGTTGGGGATCGACCCCGGACCACATGTGTGCCCACCGAGCATTCTACGGCTGTGCCGACGACGCACCAACTTAGCATAACTGAATAAAAACTAAGTGCACCAAATTCGCATTAGCTCCTCGTAAAAAAACGTAACAGAAAATAAATGTAATAGTTATGCAAATGGAATCCATAAAACAAGATAATAAGATTTCAGTTATCCTGCGTATAATTAATGTCTTACCCTACTTATACTCACTGTCCGAATCTTTACGCACTGCTATCAAGTGTAGGTCTAACCAGTCTTAGCTGTCACCACAAGAAAATATAATTCATATAAAATTGAATATTAAAATCAGCAATGTCTCTATGATACTCTGAGGTCTCTATTAGCAGTCCAATATCAAAGTAAATCTGATAAAAATAAAATACGAGTTTGACCACCGATGAGACCACCTAGAGAACCACTGAAAACCAGGGAGTACTCGTCAGCTGTTTCATCTTAGTTTGGCGTACTGCCGATGGTTACCAAACTAGGACAGAGGAGACAGCTGTCCAGTACTCCCTGGTTTTCAATGGTTCTCTAACTCATATCAATCCGTGGTCAGACTCATATAAACAAATCTAATCCTAACAAACCAACACTTGAAAAACAAAATATTACCTTCATTTCATCAAAACAAAACAGTACTAAATGAGGATAAAATAGAATAACATAAACTTTGAAAAAGTGTTTATTTTGTTAACCTACTTGTAAAAAATAAAGTCAGGTGCGAAGCTTATAGCCCCAGCAAATGGACCACGATCATATAAACTATATTTCAACGTTATTTCTTCACCTTCTGGGATAATAAAATATGATCTTGACCGTATTACTGAACTATTCCCAATATGTTGACACGGTAATTCCTTAGAATAGAATTTTTTTTAAAAAAAAGAAAATTGTTAACTGTAATAAATTATTTTCTTCTAAAATCAAAATGTATACTATGAGTGGTGAATGAATGTAGATGAAACTATGTAAAATTATTAAAATAAGAAAATAAATGAATTCATTGTCATACTGTTTGGCATCACCATACTAAACACGCTACAAAAGATTACAAGCTAACGGTCAGTTCAACAACTAGCCTAGTCTCATCAAACTGTTTCTTATACACATACCAAAGTTTCAACCGTTGTTCAACGTATATATATATATGCTTAGAAAGTTATCTAAACACCCAGTTGCATGTTTTGTGAGTATACCTGAATTAAAACATTCAATTAAGTGAATATCTATGGATCAGAAAAGTGATTTTAGCCTTATTGTGTTCTCCATCTATAGTGGAGTTATACTCTGCCACAGTGCGCAAGTTTTATACTTATTGTGTTCTCCTGTGTAAATAACTTAATAATACAGATTAGAAAGCATTCACATAAACATCAGAACGTGATAGTCAGATCAAAATGATTTGAAAACCAAACGGCCGTTTTGTTTTTCCGATGTAGATGGACTAACTAAGCTCAGACAGCCAGCAATTGTATCCCTTCAACCTGTCTGACAAGCCCGATTGTTTGATGTGAATGATTTCCATCGTCTCATATCAGATATCAATGTATACCAATAGGTTTAGTGTACTGTTCCATGTCTTTCTGAACATTTATTCCCACTTGTTTTCACCCACACCAGTACTCTGACCTTATTATCCACTACTGTTTGAAGCATTTTTAAAATTTCTGTGTTATTCTTCATATTTCCTCTATACGAAAATATTTACATATTTACAATCAAAGGCATTTTACCGCCGATTGTTAAGACAGTATACAGGATAAGAGACTTACAAGATCGATATTATTTTTTCATAAAATTGGTTTTATTGATAAAACCTTGAATGACAATGAAAGCTTTAAACATAAAAATACCTATCTCAGAGCATGAAAGACACTCAAGTATGTTTTTGACTTGAAACTATGAAACATCAACAGCTTCTCCTATGCGATATGAATCATAGCCTAAGTGAGTTCGCAGATCAAATTTAGGGTGTAAAATCTCTGGGGATTACAGTTCAAATCATTTATTACTATGATTATTATTAAAAGTTCCTTGGCTATAGTATACTGATATCATTGATTGTATTACACAACAAGGTTGTCATATTCTTGTAACTTGCAATACTTTAGTATTCAAATATATTCCGTAAACTGGAGGAACAAAACAGTTCGCAAAGACTACAACTTATGAATTATCAGACCACAGGAACAACACCTATTCGGGGTAGATTATTTAAAAAATTAGTAGTATATCTCCGCCTTTCAGTATTTACAATAATTCAGTCTCATATCCTTATACATTTTATGCTAAAATAAACTGTCGTTGGCTGTTTCCACCACCTACACATTTAGATCCATAAGAGATATTACCTAGTCACTAATTCAGTCATACACTGTAAATGTTTCCACTATACGTTTTTTTTTAAAACACTAACTTAAAAAGCTTTGTTCAGTAGACTTTTTAAACTACTTTGAATTAAAGAAAGAATGAGAAACCTTTGTAACAACAATATGACGTAAACATAAGTAATTCATTCAATTATACAAATGATCAGTTTTTATCAAAGACATTCTTAGAATTACTAATACAATCAACTATCAGCTGTCTGTCCCTATTAGGTGAGTCTACATTAATTCTCTGATGACTTTGAACTATTCCTTATCAACAAAACACTTTACCAAGGGATTCTTCTTACATGACAGTTTTTACACAAAGATTTCCTAGTCATAACTATTCGGTATGCGGAATCCTTCGAAGTGTGGATGGGAGTAAGACAAGGCTGCCTACTATCGCCAATGATTTTCCTGATTGCAGTAGATTGGATAATGCGACAAACAGCGAACAATGAGAGAACAGGCATAAAATGGACACACAGAAAAAAATTGGAGGATCTGGACTTCGCCGATGATGATATATGTCTGATTACCCACAAACTGGAAGATATGCAAGCGAAAAGCAACAAGTTGGCAGAAGAAGCATCAAAGATAGGACTTCAGATGAACACAGAGAAAACAGAGGTGATGAAGATTCCTGAACATGAACAACAACAACGGACAACGATCAGCATAAATGGGAGGAACCTGAAAGAAACAACCTCTTTTGCCTACCTGGGAAGCATCGTTTCAACTACAGGCCGACGGAACTGACGAGGATATCAAAGCAAGGATCGGAAAAGCAAGGCAAGCTTTCACTACTCTCAAGTCTGTGTGGGGGTCAACAGCACTCAGCATCAAAAATAAGATCCGGATTTTCAACTCCAATGTGAAGTCAGTGCTACTTGCAATACGGATCAGAGACTTGCACTGCGCGTCATAAAGAGCATCTCAAACAAACTACAGACCTTCATTAACAGTTGTCTTCGCTCAATACCACTCAAGATAAGATGGCCAGAAATGATTAGCAACAGAGATCTCTGGCAATGAGTGAACCAACCAGGAACCGATTGTGAAGCAAATAGGCAGGAAGAAATGGAGATAGATTGGCTGGCTATACTCTGAGGAAACCATCAAGTGACATCTACTAGACAAGCCATCGCTCAAGTGGAAGCCGAATGGAGAGCGGCGAGTTGGTCGTCAATGCAAGGGTAACTTGGAGGAGGTCATGGGAAGAGATGAAAACGTGTGGGCAGACTTGGAGCCAGGTGAAGACTCTAGCAGAGAACCGAACGCAATGGAGACGCACGGCTGAAGCCCTATGTTCCTGTAGGAATTAAAGGAAACAATAATAATAATGCTTTAAATAGGTATCTTTCCAGAGGAACGATAGTTGTGAAGAACAATGATTATTTAGAATTCATTTCATTATGTATGATATATTAGATTACTGAAATTAAGACTTTATGTCTCAAATATTACAAAGAGGCCTAGTTTCGACAGTAATACGATGATGTCCACTTCTTTAGCTGAAGGCACTTACCAGTGAGTGGAGTTACATACTAATCAATATTTTGAAGAAAGTATCAATGTGAATGTTATCGTCACTAATCTTTGAACTGATGGACTCGAAAAATTCACCTAGCGTAGCTGGAAAACACTACGCCACCAAATACATGAAGTAAATAGGCTTGAGAAGCAGTATATAGCAAAATGATGTATGAACTTCTTTTGTTACTAACAACCGTAGGAGTCTAAATTGTCGAATTTATCTGATGTCTTGTGAATCAGGGAAGAGCTTTGATGGTGATTACTTAAAACAACCTCTCCTTCGGTTAAAGCAGTATCTCAGCCTTCTACTCAACATATAAAATGTCAACTCAGTGAAAATATAGTTAGGCGCTAGGCTTTCTAAAAATTATTACATATATTACTTCGTGAAACGTACATTCAAACACTCAATACACTATCATTAAATTGTTATTGTCATTTTTAACCTATAAACTGTATTGTCTAACTTTCAGTTTCCATACTTTTATCATCTTTACCTGCATTAAGTGCTCGAAGGCAACAGCCACGTCTGGTTACAGTTGGAGACAGTTTCATGTCATTCTAATCACTGATATCAAGGAACCTGAAGTTAGTCTGACAATATCTGAGGAAGACAGCACCACCAATCAGCAAACTCCACAGACTCCTGAAAAGCTGGGTGGAGCATTTTAATGAAACATTTTAGCTGGTCTGCATTGTCATTTCCTCGAAAAGCTTATTGTTGTAATTTCTTACTTTCTTTGACAACTAAAAGAAATCTGAAGTTTTGAACTCACCTTCGAATATATTTTATAATTACTTTTAAATTCTTCTTCTATTGTTTTGTTTCTGAGTGTTTTATATATTAGTGTTCGACTATTTTGTTCTATTCCTAATCTGTTGATGAGAAACTAAGTGAGGGAAATATTGCTTCATGCAGCTTTCATTCCATTTGTGTGAAATAGTAATTTTCATAATACTTTAAAAAACAAAGTCTCTGTTAGACTGTAAAAAATGTGCAAGCTAAGTAGGTGACTAAAAATAAAATTTAACTGATAATTGCTCGGTATGAAACTCAAAGAATTTACGTTTATTTACCTCACCTACAAAAGGATAATTCCTTTCACTTTCAATGCCATTATCCGATATATAATCATATGCATAAGTCATTAGCCCAGCTATACAACCGAAATTTCCATAATCCATACTGCAGTCAATAAGTTGCTGAGCAGATAAGCTTTGAACTGGAATTGAGGCACGATTCATTTGTCCTTCTAATGCTCCGACTGATGCAAACGCCCAACCACAACCACAGTCTCCCTGATTATTTTCAAAGATAAAATAAAGTAACTTATTAGTTTTTGTTATGTGATTAGAAGAAATCAGTTTTTATATAAATATGAAATCAATATATGATGAAATGTCTTTGGAAAGTCTGTCTTTATGTGGTGGGTTGCTGTAAAAATCCAAGAACAGAACCAAGGGTGACACATAACCCGTACGTTCTGGGAATGAAATACTCGGTTATGTGTATGGTTCCCTTGGTTCTGTCTTTGGAACTGATATTTTTACTGCTGTTTTTCTTGTTTTCGATAGAATTTCCTCTGGGATTCACTTAGTTTTAGTAGCATTTAGTATCCATCGCCTTACCACTTAGAGATGATTGTTATGATACTCCAATGTCTAAAAATATGTTTTCTGTAATATCAGTTTCTGCATCCATCATTTTAAGCTAGTGTTCAGACAGAGGGGCTGTTCTTGAAATATCTGATTCATTGATCAAAACTGAATTAGATGCTTCAGTTGTCTTAGAGTCGGAGTGACTATCACTTCTCAAAGATAACCGTCGTTTCAGTGCTTTCATGTTCGAATTCTTTAATTTCGATCTCTTCTTTGTTCTTATACCTTCTGATATTTCTATTTTAACTTAAAGGGATTTGTTACTGTTTACCCTTATTGGTGAAATATAGGGAGTGGCCAAACCTGTGTCTTAAGGGACATATGTGAATTTCATAAACTCCAATGACCACATTTAATGTAGAGTTATAATAATGTTGAATATATATTACAAGATAATAAACGTTCGTTCCATTGGTCGATGAAAATGAATTCATGAGTTTGTTCGACTATTCATGTAACGATCCAGTTAAGTTGACAAAATATGTTTCACTTACTATCACAATATATAATGAATTGACTCTTCTGGAGTAGTGATAGATATTTTACAATGTGTTCTAGTTCAATTGTATCGAAACATTGTTTTCACTATACACAAACAAGTAATAAAGCAATACATTTTCCTTAACCTACTGTGAACTGGTATAGCATGTATTTCATTTCATTCCTGAAATATTATGAATAGCTTTCAAGGGAATATGCAACAACAAAGATTTTGTTACAAGATAAATTGTTATTTTACAGTATATTTATCAAGCACCATTATTAAGGTCATCATAGAAAATCCAATTACTAGACAATTAGAGCTAGAGGCCAAAAAAATACGGCTCAGAAACCAGTAGAATATAGTCAAGCTAAACTATTCACAAAATTACTAGTAAGTCCAGTGAAATGAAGATTTAATCATAAGTCATGTTCATGTTCATGATCATCCGAAGAACAAGTCTAAAGTTAACAGTCTGATGGTGAGTGACTGGTGTATTGTTCAGATACAGTGACTGTTAACAATGTCAGCATTCACACAATCATACGTCACAAACTGATTTTACATACAGAGTAAATTTATGACCACTTACCAGAAACTTACTTGATTTTTAACATCAGTTACAACTCCTTTATCCTTCCAATTGAAACTATCTGGTGCATATCGGTAGTTAGTTTTATTCATAGGTTTTATTAACTTTAATGAATTAATCGATTTATGCATATTTTTAGGCATTAATGCTGGTAAATGAATCAGAGAGAATTCTGTCCAAGTTAAATCACTAAATTGATTTAACCCTAATGTGTAGGTGACAAGACCAAGGTCATAACGTAGGTTATGCAAAAGTATGCGATGAATATTAGAATTCCATATTTCACGACGATAGTCTTCCTCTGTTTCGCTATTCCATTCTACTAGTATGCCTTCTTTATTTTGTCCTCTAGTTTTTCTCTTCTTTTGAACTTTTCTATCATAACTTTTATTAAATTTTGTTTTCCATATAAACCAAATTTCATCCAACTTTATGTTGTCGATTGACTGATCGGTTGATCTGTTCGTTGATAAATCATATGCGACGTGATGAAATGTTCTAGTAATTTGATTAATAGATAGATATAAGCAGATGAAGAATAACTGATTTCTAATTGAACAATTCATAATAATGAAGATTAGTTTTTAATATTTTTTGTTTCTTCTTGCCTATCTAATATATGCTCATGAAATTATTGTACTTATTCATATATATATATATATATATATACAAATATTAATCGAACGATTGTTACTACATTTTGTAAAGTACAAAGGTTTTTGGTGTTTAATTTAATACTGATTCCTTCTCCTTATTGTTATTATAACGAAATAAGTACATGCTTAGCGTTATACATATAGTGAATACATTTAAAATATAAATACATTAAACCTGCGTGAGTAAAGATTACGTCTATTAGAACTGTTTAGACGTTCAGATCTTAGCGGTTAACAGAAAAAAATTCATTGATAAAATGACATTAAATTAATTATTCATAAATCTGTGTTCATTCCTTATTATCTTCTGAAATTTAAACAATCTTATTTATATTCTAAAATCACTTTAAACTGACCTCCTATCTCTTTGTGTTTTTTTTCTCTAAGTAGAACAGCACCAATCTTAAGTCAGTCACTGCTTCTATTTGGATCATAAATTTGCGACACGTGTCACAAAAAGCAGCCTGATACAGTCTTTTATCAACAGTTGCCTTCGCCAGCTCCATACTGAAGATCAGATGGCCAGCCTGAAAGGATAAGGAGACCACAAGGAACTCGAGTAACGAACCAATCAAGAACCTGTTGCTCAACAAATATCTGGGAGAAAATGGAGATGAATCGAAAACACGCTCAGGAGATCGTCGAATATTATTGCACGTCAGGCCATTACTTGAGTGAAACCCGAATAGGAAACGACCAGTTGAGCGAGGATCCAAGGGTGGCATAGAGGAGATCGTGTGAGGAGGAGATAAGAGACTGCGGGCAATCGTGGGGCCAGCTTAAGAGGACTGTAGAAAACAGGGAGAAATGGAGATGCGCCGTTGAAGCCCTATGTTCTACTCGACACCCAAGGGAACAATGATAATATATGACAGAATAAATTAATCTGGTGTTTTGACTACCACCCCTTAGAACATTTATGGTGTACTGTTAATAAATAAGAAAAAGTGAACAAATTCTATTTCTCCCTTTTTAGTTTGTGATAATTGTTACATTAACAGTGGCCGACTGACTGATATGTAACTGGCATGAAATTAATGATTCTTCAACCTCGGAATAATCACTACATACAGTGGTTAAAGAAATCATTTGGTGAGAGGTCCTGAAACTAAGTTTTGCGCTGTTCGACATCCAGCGGTGGGGTATATCTGTATCATCAAATGCTTAATTTAAAGGGCTTATCAATAAACAACCAGATCTTGGACTAACTCCTGTTAAACTGAAATACATTCAACAATCAATCACCGGTTGATAAATGAAGCTTCTTTTTTTCCCAAGTGAACTGATGCACAGATATTCTTCAAAAGTACGCTTACATTAGCCAGGAATGCAGTAATAGGAAGACGTCAGTTGATGGGGCTATGAATAATACAACCCCTTTTAGACAGAAAATTCTCTCAAAATCATTCGCAGAGTTCATCCAATATAACGATAATGAATTTTACTTTATAGGAATAAGCTGGCAGGTGGAAACACACCATAGTTGTGAAAAGTGGTATCCTATCCTTAACTTAGTGATGATCATATACAGTCTTAAATTCCAAGGTAGTTTCATAAAATATCCCCCTTAAAATATCTTAGGAAATGATGTTCAAAGATCTCAGTAGTCTTGTAATATTTGAACTTCAGAATGGCTTACAAAATACTTTTTATAACTGTATGAAACTCTGTCAACGTAGAGTAACGAAAATACTGGTGTCATTTTAGCTGTTGATCAAAAAACTATCGATTAAATATGAATATTAGTAAATAAATAAAAACAGATAAACAAAGGAATTATGAATGAATTTAATTTTAGCCTCCCGCGTTATACATTATTGAGAGCTGAAATGGTTTAAGAAGAGTAATAACAAACTCTAAATATATCCTTTGTCAATGAATGAAGACATTATCCTACAATCTTCAAGAAATTCGACGTGTTCAAGTTATTGAAATAAATGACAGGTCCCTCGAGGTTTCAGTTCCATTCCATATATGCCTTTATCTAAGCGTAACTATTGGAAATTATGTTCTTAATCATCTGATCAAGTAACCTTATGTTTACAAAAATATGTAGATGATATTTTTATTATTTGTCTTAAAGAATTTAACCTAGGCAGTCTCCTGAAAACTTTTAACGCAAACCATTCTTCGATAAAATTTAATTTAGAAGGGAAATTAAGCCTGTTATTTTCATTCCTGGTTGGCCTATTCAATAGGAGGTGAGAAAATCATATCCATAGATCAATATAAAGAAAGCTACCATGGAGTGAAAAATTTATTAACTCCCATAACCATATGCTACTGGTCAAAAAGGATACCTAACACGTTTGTTATGCTTAATAAACTGGAATATCTGTTTTGAAAATACAGTGGAGACTGATTTTGAAATCCCTACTTGATAGTGTATGACCATATAGACATCCAACTAAACTTGTCCTTCTCAAAACGATGGAAGTTAAAGGGTAGTAACACTGTTGTCGGAATTCCTCAAAAGTCATCGCTTCAAATCTGTTAGGAAGACATTTCATACAGCAGTCTTCCAAACCACATTCTACAGTGGATAATTAATCCACCTACTTTTTTAAGGGCTGCATACCATTAATATCTGCTTCAGTGAAGCCAGATGTATCTGTCGTACACAGAATCAAGTCCATAAGCGTGTTCTGAAACAATGTTCTGCTTGATTTACTGGAGGGAAAAGAAGAATGTCAGTGGTTCTATTCCAGATCACTCTATCAACTCTGATAAGTTGTTATTCCCAAACAACTGCTTCGGAGTAATCTAAAGGTTCGCTGAATATCATACTGGTGGGCATCGAATACTGTATTTATACACATCTGAGTCACTAGCAGTTTATGGCTTTAAACCGAAAACAATGCATACGCTTACTCACTTTATGATGTCCAGACTTATATTTTCGCTATAACTATATCTACATATTTTGCTTCATTTTGTCTGAATTGTAATATTTTATTTTTCCTTTCGTCATACAAATTTTTGCTTACATACCTTGCTGTCATTTTCACTTTGATGTCGACTGTTTGTAAATCTAGGTTGATGCAGTAAATTTTACGTCTATTGCGTAATACTGGCTTCTATTTCCTCACTTTTATTTGTTCATCCCCTATGAGATAATTCCTCGTATTACGCAAAACAATTCTCTAGTATATATACCATCGGGATTTGATTGGCTTTAATCAATTTTACGTTGAATATAAATACTATTGTACAGCTCTGAAAATAAAATTGAAAAAAAGTTTTTCGCTACTGTCTGTGTTTCTTTTTATTACTCAAAAAAAAGAACTTTCTGTTTGTCTGGGAATTCTGTCGACTATATTTGATAATCATACAATGAGTGGAGTTTTCTTTAGTGTTGTATAATGTAAGCGAATTCAGAAGAATGATCTATAATTGTCAGTAGCCTTCTAAAATTAAGAAATACATTGTCTACTTCTAATTACTATTGTGGGATAAGTACAAATTCCCGTATAGAAAACAATGGCATTTTCATTTGTTATCTTGAATTTGTAATACAGTAAAATAAATTATTAAATAAGTGGTCAGATAGATGAACTTTGATTAACATCCAAGAATGAAATGCACCACTATTCACCATCACACCACTGTTTACTAATGAATACATGCACCAGTTATACTTTGCCCATTTATCTTTACCTATTAAATATCTAATTAAAGACAAATTAGGAAATTAATGTATAAATTGTAGTAAATGTGTATCAGTCAACACAAGTTAACGACGACAACTGTCTAATTCTAGGTGTTAATCAAGCGTATTATTTAGTCGCCAAGCTGCAGACATTGGTACTACTGCTCATTGTAATTTGGTAGTACGCGTCTGGATCGGTTGATTGGTAGACTCTATGATTTGGTAGATCAGGCAATTTAATATTGAAGCCTCTTTCCTTGGAAATGAATAAGGTAAGTTGACATTTCAGCACACTTAAGACTCAGTACTCTTATAATATTCAGAAGTACCTATATATCAGTAAGATCATAATAGTTGTTACCTAGTCCCTATTAGTTTCTGTGCTCTTTTGTACGAAATAAATGTTTTATATAACGACTCTTCGATATTAAAGTAAAAATTATTATTGTTTGTGTATATTTGTTTCTAGTTATGTCAATAATGTCACGTATTTCACTTCTAAAGTAATACAAAGGGTTGATGCATGTGATGTTTGTGGTCACATTAAAACTAATGTTACAACAAGTGAGTAATGAATAGAATTTTCAATGTGGATTTCGTCGGGTTAGAGAGATCACATCGGTGGTTCAGTGTTAGAACACTGGCCGACCAAGCAAGTGGTCCGGGGTCCGATTCCCGGCCGACGCACTCCTTTAAGTAGCTCAGCCGGTAGTAAGCCCGTAAAAAGGGAAATTTGGGCGGGAGGCTAGTAACTTCATCACGGAAAAAAACAGTCACTGCTACTGAAACTTCAAAGCTCTATCTTGAAGCCCTGTGCTCCACTGGAAACGCGACGGAATAAGATAATAATAATAAGAGGAATCACTGAAGATCAGAGAGCACTGGACAGCTGTTTCGTTCTAACTTGCAACTCTTAATAGGCATACGGCCACAACCCCACCAGGGATTGAAACATGAATCTAAAAGGTACGTGACCACTCTATTTAACCATTCAGCTACCTGGGGCAGAATTTAATGACCAGTGGATTCCAAATACCCTTAACCTCATCAAAAGCATTGGCTGAGGGCAAAGCTATACCAAGGGTTTGATCCCTTGTACACACAAGGGTCACATGTGTACACTGCTGAATAGGTCAAACTAGAATGAAACAGTTGTTCGGTACACCATGCTTTTCAGTGATCTCTCTATATGATGTTGATTTGAAGTGACATCTACATCGAAATAAATGTGTTGTTATTATTGTTCCCTTGGGTTCCTAGT